TATATATATATATTTTTTTTATTCTGAAATTTATTTTTTTTATTTTTTATAGAGGTTTAACTTTTCTTCGATGAATAATAGATACCTCAACGGTAAAGTTAATTCAGAGTTTAAATTGAATTTTTTCTGAAAAAAAATAAATCCACTCGAAAGAATTTTCTGTTTTAGAACACTCTGATTAATATTAGCATCCAGATAGTTATCGCGTGAATTCTCTTTGGAAAGAATCGTGGTAAAAAAAAGTTCCAGAATTTTTTTTTTTGTGCTTAATAGCTTAATTTACATTTTTTCATTTTATTCCATACATTTATACTTATCTTTATTTATTCTTATGTCGGCAATAAAATACTCATAATTCAAATGTTATGAAAATACAATTTTGATCTTAAAAAAAAATTAAAGTATAAAATAAGATTTAAAAATTTATTCATTCATACTGTGATTATAAAGTTCATAGAATACTTTTAATTATTCTCCATTTATTTAATATTCATAAAATGAAAATTTGTAAAAGTACAAACTAATTAAAAGTTTAATTATCACAATAATGTTACAGATAATACGCGTAACTTAATACAAACTGTTAAATTTGTCAAGCAAGACAGTTTCCATGCTCGATAACGATGACTAAACACTCTGTAACTAGAAAGGAAACTTATGCTAGCAAACGCTTTCAACTGTAGTTATACTCAAGTTCAAAGTTAATTCCATGCTAGGAAATTGGCAAGCTGATGATAATAACTCTACCACTTCGTATTATTATCATTTTAAAAAAAGTTCAACTATTTCCGATAATATATATTTATAGTACTCATGAACATTTGCGCAATTTACATTTTTATCATTTAAATCTTGTCATTTAATTACAATCTATATATTTAAGAGAATAGGGAAAATTTTGTCTTCGGCGTATTTATGTGATAAAATGTTTTTTTTTTTTTTTTTTTTTTTTTTTTTTTTTTCAAATTTAATATTATTGGAAAGGTGTTGATCTGAATTTATTTTTTTTCAAGATCTTTATTATCAAGAAATTTATTATCATAAGTTATCGAGTAGTTTTAAATAAATTTGAATTTTGCGCTAAGATAAAATTTTTTCATTTGTCAAATATCAATTCATAAAATTAAAATAATAAGAAAAATTTATATATATTTTTATTTTATGATCAATTACCTATATCAAACATTTAAAGCAGTTTTGAATAGTTTGTAAGTTCTATAAATTTATTTTGCGATATTTTCCACTAAATTACTAATAATTAATCGTGTTTTAGCAATATTTTTTTTTATTTAATTAAAAAGTGCCCAAACTGTATATATTATGATTAATAATATCAATAAATCATTAAACCAAAGTTTTTTTTTATTTATAGTAAGTATTAAAAGATTTATATTAATAAAATTTATGAAAAAAATAAATTGTCAGAGATTAGAGGCGATCTTTTACACTATTTCAATACAACAAAAATAAAAAATGACAGTATAAATTTATAAATAACAAAACTGTTTTATTTTTTTTCATTATTATGCAGAGTTTATTTCGTTGTACTTTACAGTGTTTTGTGATATTATCAGAAACAGAACTTTATCGACTGGATTTAAAGTTGACTGAATAAATCCATATCTCAACTTACGACCGCATACTAATACTTTGTTTGATGCTTTAGTGACACGTTTTATCATACAACACGTTTTACGGCTTGTCAATGCCAGGAAAGAAGTTTTATAACGACTTTAGTATTGATTGAAGTTATAAAATTTCAGCAAAATAATTATTAACATAGCATTAATAATGAAAATATTAAGAAATTGAGAGTAATAATTGATGAAGAACAATGAATAATTTATTTTATCTAATCATAATATTGTTTCAAGCGAAATTTATTCATAGCAACCCTGTGTGGTGTGAGACATTGTGCTTGTCAGAATTTGATGTCACAGAATGAAATGAAATTTTTTTGTCGAGTTTAGTAAAATTTAAAATTTGTCAAGCGGAAAGTTGAAAATGTATGTGAAAAATTTTATTCTTAACTTTAAAGAAAGTGTGCGAGCTGAAGATAAATAACGAGAATTTTTTTCTTTGGTACAACTATTTTAATATCATAAAAAACACAGGTTTACTGGGCATAAAGGTTCTGTCGATTCCGAAAAAGTGGATGTTCGACTCACACTTGAACCCTGAGTATCAACTCAACTCATATTTTATGATCATTCTAGCTTACAAAGTCGATCTATATAAGTTTATGAGATCTCTTTTTTAATACTAAGGATAAGATACGCACAGATAAAAAATTTAGACAAATAGTCCAATTGAAAAGAGTATCTATAAAAAATCTCGGAATTTTTTCACTTCACACTGAGAGAAAAAAATTTTTTAGAAAATAAATGACCATTTGTTATAACAAAAAATTAATTTGTTGAAAATTTTCTATTATTACAACATTGGTCATTTTTTTATTCAGTATACACATTCTAATTTACAAAAGATACTGTAAAGATAAATATATTGACACTAACTTTATAAAATCTATATTATTATATAAGAGATTCCTATCTATATAGTCACTCATCACGATATCTCGGAAACCATCAGACCTAGAAACTTGAAATTTGGTAGAAATATTACTTTTGCCCTGTAGAGGTCAGCTAAGAATGGATTTTAAGAAATTCCTCCCCCAAAGGGGTTTGCGGGGGCGTTAACAATGAAAAATTCTCGTTTTTAAAATATAGCTCCTATCGACTCCAAATTTGATAGGAATCTTCTGTAAGAGATGTAGAAATAGTTTATAAACGAATTTACGATAGATCACCCCAAAAAGGAAATGTGGGGGTGGGCATTAACGATGAAAATTTTTATTTTTCAAACTATAGCTCCTACAGACTCCAAATTCGATAGGATTTTGTATAGGTGATGTAAAAATCATTTATAAACAAATTTTACGATATTTCATCCCACAGAGGATTGCGGGGGTGGGTATAAACAATGAAAATTTTTAAGTTTCATACTGTAGTTCCTATAGACTTCAAATTTGGTAGTAATTTGGTAGTATTGGTTATAATTCATTTATTTAACCATTATATAAGTTCATAAAACTATTTTTTCTTAAGGTATAATAAAAGTAGTAAAGGTAATAAAATTGAAAATAACCTGACATTTTAGTTCATGCATTATGTTTGAATGTCATGAGGATTTTTATATTCATGATTTTTATTTTCAAATGTCACGAGGACAAATAATAAAAAATTGTACGCTCGTTAACAGAGGAAAAAGGGTTTATTTTTAGTGAGTTGTGCTAACGGTGATTGAATCTATTGATCGAAAAAATATATATTTATAGAATAGCATTGCCATTAAAAGCGGACTAAAGGAGAAAAAATAAATAAAAGTGTGTAAATGAAAACGATGTATTTTAATTATGATTATGAAATGAATACATGAGGCTGTCAAAGTTAATTTTGAATAAATAATACACGTAAAACTGACTTTGTATCTGGTGAGTTCATTAAGCTTGTGTTGTATAAAAGGAAATGAAATGGTAAGAAACTAAAATGATGCAGACTAATTAATGCAACGTCAAGTTTTAAATTTGATTAGTTTGACGAGGATACTGTTAAGGTAAAAGATAAAAAGTGTACAAAGTCTCAAAAGACTGGAAAAATAATTACGATTTTAACTTTCCTCTAACATCTTAGATAATAAGAAAAATCAAATATCCTTTAATTAAATTTAAAAATTAACTCTATGTTACTTTAATTAAATCTTTAAAATTGAATACTTAAATAAATAAGTAATATTAAAATCATAATTGTGAAAAATATATTTTTCAATGATTCGATTGTGATTTAATAACTTAGAAAATCGAATTGGTACATTATTAAAATGATAAACATTTTTATAAAATAATTTTTGAAATTTCAAAATAAAGAAATTTTTTGCAGAGTTCAAAGTTGAAAATTTTTTTCCAGTTTTTGACTTGAAAAATGTTTTGTACTGTAAAAAATTATGTTCTATAAAATGGAACGATCAAAACGTTAAAATATTTTTTTAATTTTTCGGGTAACCAAGTTTCTTACTAAAAAGTACCAGCGAAAAAAACTACAAAAATACTATTAATTTCAATAAATGTTTATAATATAAAAATTCAGCTAAGAAAATTAGTCTACCAGTTGGGTTGCCAAATAGATACGGAGACTTTCTATAGATTTAGATTTTTATCGAAAGTTACTTGCTCTAAAATTTGACAGTCCAATCCGTTTTCGACGTGCCAATAAGCTACTGAAATAAAATATAATAATTTATATTTTGTGAATTTTTTTTTTCAATGAGGTTGATCTAAGACTTATTAGTTTCATAATTGTGTTGAAAGTCTAGATAAATTTCTTCAATTATAAGATGTCAGACAAAGTTGAAATCTCTTCGACATTTGTCAATATCAAAATGAATTATTTTCTTACTTTTTTAGACAGCTAATAAACTTTTCAAACCGAATAAAATTGTAATTATATCTTCAATTTTTTATAATAAATTTAAATTGTTCAAGTAATAAAGTTTATTGTTGACGTTAATAATGAAAAATGGTAGATTTATATACTGAAATTATTATATAAGTAAAAAAAATGAAAAAATAAAAAGCAAACTATTTAAAAGTAATCCTTGAAATTAAAAAAAAAAAAATTATAAAATAATTAAAAGTTTTTTATTTTTTTTTATTTCAGCGACTGGGTAGCGTACGTGGCGAGGATATACCATATATATTTGGATTACCATTGATATCCGGTGGCGCTTTTTTTCCTCACAATTACAGTCGTCAGGATCAAGGCGTCGCCGAAGCCATACTCACGTTTCTTACTAATTTTGCAAAAACGGGAAACCCCAATTTACCTCACAATATTGAGTCTGTTGATTACGGAACAGAAAGAGAAAAAGCTCGCTTCCGGGGACTTAATTGGGAACAATATGAAACCGAGTCACAATCATATTTAACGATAGGTAAAAAATCTATAATTAACTTAATGTACGTTTCGAGTTTCAGGTCTAAAACAATTTTTTTATTCACTATTGTACAGTAATTTAACAGTGGTCTATTGTATAAAAATAATTGCTTGTTAAATGAATAGAACGAGTTTTATTTTTGTGAAAAAATAAATAATCCGCTTTGTAAAAGAATAATATGCTTACAGTCTTTACTTTTTGATCGAATCATTTCACTCAGCTTCATTTTTTTATTCTCTCGTTTTTAAAAAACTGTTTCACAACTTTTAAAAAGTTTGTTTTAATAATAGAAGCAACTTCTGTGTCTTCACTAATGCAAATTGAGAATAATTAAAAAATTTTTAAGCAAGTCTGAAACTCAGTACTTAATTCTATACTTAATAAATTTATATAATAAATAATTTATATTTTCATTTTTTGTTTTAGCACTGAAGCCAAAAACTAAAAGCCATTACAGAGGACATAAAATGGCTATGTGGTTAAATTTAATACCGCAGTTACATCAACCTGGAGATGAAGATGTGTCAATGAGACATCACCACTTTCGTGAGCATGGTGATCATTTTTATTCAGGTATTTTTCAAAATTTTTAATTTTTTTTAATTAATTTTACTTATAAGATAAAGTTGAAATTAATTTGATTTTAACTTTATTAATTTTATAAATATATATTAAGGATTGAGGCTAAGTCAATATTTTATAGAAATTATGTTAATGAAAAGATGTTTTTAATACAAATAAACCAAATTTGTTGATCTCCGAAATGTTATTAATGTGTATTTAAAGACTTCAATATTGTTTTCAAATAGTTCTTTAAGTATATATCTTCAGAACATAAAATTTTGCTCCAGTATGTTTTATTTTTTTGACTTTTACCGAAAAACAGCATCAGCTCAAAACTTTACATAATATAACCGGGTTTGTCAAAACAATTACGAGCCAATTCAGTCCATCATTCCGGTTCAAAAGTTGTGGGTGTTAAGAAAATTTTTTCATTTTCATTAAAATCAAAATTTTACAAGAATTTCTAAAGTAACTTTAAAACTATAATTGATAACTAAATTCTGACAATTAAATTTTCATATAATAATAAAAATATGAAAAATTCGCGTGAGTACTCAAACGACAGGCCTGTCTCCATAAGTGTATTATCGGAATGAGCTTACCACATCTTCAAAAATGTCAATAATTAAGAAATGGCGTTGTATTTTGTCACCTAATGATATTTTTCAAGATACAAGCTCATCTCGATATTTGACTTATTGAGCCCTTTCATTTAAGTACCCGCTTGAATTTTTAGTATATTTTATATATTACATATTTTTTACAAATACCATATATATAAAATATATAAAAAAAATGCCATGTGGGTACTCAAATGAAAGGTCTCGATGAGAGTAACATCGAAACGAGTTTATATCTTCAAAAATATCAATAATTAAGAAATGGCATTGTGTCTTATCACCTAATGATATTTTTCAAGATACAAGCTCATCTCGACATTACACTCACCGAGACTTTTCATTTGAGTACCCATATGAATTTTTTATAGATATCCAATATATATTTGAAATTTTACCATCATTTGATGATAATTATTACCATAAATTTCTCAGCGTGTAGTGTGCAGTATGTAATGTACCGAACTTATTGGACTGCATATATCAAATTTTGTACATTCTCTTATATAATATGTATATTCTAATTTTAGATGCTTGATGGAGATTTAATATTAAACTAAAACGTCGACTGATCAATATATGTTAATTATTGACCTCGTTTACGTTCCTGATAAATTTATATTACACTGTTAAAAATTTCTATTGTAATTTTACAAGAAATGTATTGGAAGCTAATAGGCAAAACATTTATTTAAAATTACAATCGGGTATAGTAAAATTACAAAACATATATAGCTCAGTGAGGTTACTAATTTTACAAAACAGTTTTGTAATTTTACAAATATTTTTAGATTAGCTAAGTTTGTAAAATTACAATACTTTCCTTGAATTTTACTTCAATTGAAACAATAAAAAAGAAAAATTAGATTCAATATTTGTTGTCATTTTATTTTTACGAAGCGCTGATTAGATTTTGAATCTCACATAGACCTAATTATTACAACTTAGATGATATAAAGTGAAAATAATATTTACCCTAACTAAGAATCGAACGCGAGCCGCGCGCTTGCCAGACCGATACCTAACGCCCTACGCCGTACGACCGATAGGTGGTCCAACATCTTATTATTCTTATAAGCCAATCCTATGTGGTGATTGAGCATTACGGCTTATTATTTATTATTTACATTATTTGTGTTATTTGATGCTGTTTATTGATGGAAAATAACTGACTTTTACATTATTTATAATTCATTGAATATTATAAAAATTAAAGTCTAACATATACTCATTAAAATATATTGATTTCGAAATGATCGTTTGAGCGTAATATTAAAATTTATAAAAGATAAATGATGCCTCGAATTTATTATTGCTAATAAACAACCATAGAGTGAAAATTAGTAAAAATAAATATGAAGGACATTGTTGTTTTTTGATACATCAGTCTCATTTTTGTTAAACTGAAAAGTATTGTTTTTAAAATTGAAAAACAGTCAAGTAGAATTACAATTCGTGTAATATAAATAAAATTTTCTGGTAACATTATATTGCACTGTGTAATTTTACAATGAAAATTGTAAAAATAAAAAAAAGCTTTTCAAATTTTTTATAAGATTATTGTAATATAAATGACAATATTTTTTTATGATTTTACATACAATTATGCCGAATCAGATTACAAATAATGTTTGCAAAATTAAAAAGCTTTTTCTTGAAAATTGACGAACAGTTCTGTAATATTACAATGCGTGTTAGGTTTATACAAGAAGATTGTAAAATTACAATACATCTTAGTAGATTTCCTGACAGGTGTTGGAAAATTACATGAATTGTATGTTATTTCGCATTGCTATACACTGATTTGTAATTTTACATATCATTTGTTTTGTAATATGATTGTAATTTTACAAAAATTTTTAACAGTGTAGATTATTAACTATAAATGGTTAGAATTAATTAATAATTATGTTTTATGCGTGTATGTTTAATAACAGAAAGAAAATGAATGTATAATTAAAATGTAATTTCTAAACCTAAATTATTTTAGAGCAGGAAGGAATTTTCTTGAGACCCGAAAATTAATTCTTCAACGAAAAATTTTTTTTCTGTGTAATCGTTCTGGTTTATACTTACAATTTTTTTTTAACGAAAAATAGCGGTAAATTTTTAATCAACAAGCGAAGTTTGCAGAGAAAAAGGGGAATTATATTTAGATTATTTCATACATACAAAATTAAAGTTAGTTGAATAATTATATTAACTATATAGAATCTCTATGTAAATTGATAAAAGGTTACCGTTGTATAATATTAAATTAAATTTAATTCTCATAATTTAACTTATAATAACCGCTATAATATTAAATCATATTTTAATTTAATTTCATTTTGTTCAAAATATAATTTTGACTTAATCAAATTATTTATTATGGAGTAAATTGGCTGTCAAATGTTCAAAGACATACTGTTTGAAATTCATTCTATATGAAACATTCATTTTTTATTAATAATCATTAATCAAGTGATACTGGCTAATATATTTCACATTCCGCACGTAATAAATTGCATAAGTTTTTAATTGATTATTTATTAATAAGTTTTATTTTATGTTAAGTTACATTTTTTTTACTAACAAATTTATTGATAAATAAAAACTTATCAAAATTTTATAAATTAGTTTTATTGTTAAAAATGTGGTTATCGAAATAAATTAAATATTTAACAATTAACTATATAAAAGGTATTCCATACCAGATCACTTTTGACTCTGAGTCTTTACAATTTAGCCTAGAGTTTTTCCCCGTCTTTTTCTACTCTATAAAAAACGGTTTTTAGAATTGTTTTCAATTTTTTAACCAGCCTAAAAAAAGTTATCAATTTTTTTGAAAAATTGCTTTTTTATTTTCAAAAATTAACTTGTTGAGAATTTTTTTTCACAAAATTTTTTATTTCTAAAATTACTTTTTAGACAAAAATATTAAAAAATTTTTAAATGATAAACTCCTTGAAATTTTCGCCTTTTTTTTTTTAATTGATAACTTCTTTTGAGCTGAGTAGGAAAATTTGTAAAACTTTCAACTAAGTCGAAAAGAGTCGGGTATAGAATACAGAATATTACTACGAAGAAATTTTTGATATTTTGAATGGTAACCATTACCATGTTACATAGTAACGGAAATTTTTATGAGAACTCTGTGTAAATTTGCTACTAAAAATCTTAGAAATTGTGATAAAAATATAAAACAATCACTCATTCGATGCGGAATTAAATTCTGAAAATATAGTTGTTGTTTTTTGATTTTTTTGATGAAAATTTCAATTTGTTGTTAACAAAAAACATAACTAAAATAAAAAATCTCAGTTTTTCGTAAATAACTCAATAACTATTGGCGATATCGAAAATCGGAAAAAAGATTCTTAAAGGGGAGGAAATTTTAAAAAAAGTCTCGACTCCTGAAACTCTAGTTTGAAAAACAATAATTTTTATTTAATGTTGAAAATAGGGTTTCACGCAACGGCTGCCCTGTCAAGACAAAACGACGTATCTCAAAAATCATAGATTCGAGAAAATAGCGTATAAAGTTTTCACAGAATTTGAGTACAATTTAACAGAAAAATTTACTTCTGTCATGACAAAACGTCGTAACTCGAGATACGTTTTTTTATCTTAAGAAACTAATGCTCATTTTGATAAATAAATGAAATTGTTATGACAAAAAGCTGTAACTCGAAGAATTAAATGTTATATTAATTTCCAATGCAAAAAAGATACGTTTTTTTTTTTTTTCATTTCTTTTATACGCACATTTAATCAATATTATTGACATAATTAATTAAATTTTGATGATACCTTATCATTAAGTGACACTAAAAAAATCTTTTTAGCTTTGTTACGACAAAACAGCGTATCTCGAGATACGTCGTTTTTTCATAACAGGGCAGTAATACTGCCGTCGTATTTTTGTGTGACAAAAGTCGCGAAACCCTATTTTCAACATTAAATAAAAATTATTGTTTTTTAAGCTAGAGTTCCAGGAGTCGAGACTTTTTTTTAGAAATTTCCTCCTGTTAAGGATCTTTTTTCTGATTTTTGATATCACCAATACGGCTGCCCAATTTCAAAACACAGTATAACTAACATTTAAAAATTTTTTTCAATTTTTCTTATTGAAAAAAAGTTTGCCTGCCAAATTAATGACAAATTTGATTTATGAATAGAAAATACTCAAATATAAATATATTTTTCAGAAAAAATACTTGAAATTAAGGTTTAAAAGTTTTAAAAAATGCAGCAATACTAAAAAAAAATCAGATATAAAAATTTTGCAGTTACTGTGTTTTAAAATTAGGCAGCCAAATAGTTATTGAGTTATTTACGAAAAATTAAGATTTTTCCTTTTTGGTTATGTATTTTGTTAATAACAAATTGAAATTTTCATAAAAAAAATAAAAAAACATTATTTTCAGAATTTAATTCCGCATCGAATGAGTGATTGTTAATATTTTTATCACAATTTCTAAGATTTTTATTAGTAAATTTACACAGGGTTCTCACAAAAATTTCCGTTACTATGTAGCATGGTAATAGTTACCATTCTAACATAGGAATAAGTTCTATTCTTTTCTCTGCGTGTAAGAAATATTTAAGAAGCATATGAACGACAGTGGGGTTAAAAAGTTAAATTAACGAATAAAAAATTTATTTTATAGGAACAGTACGCGACGAATGGCATACACCAGTCCCGTTATTTGATCCGACTAGAACCAGTACACTATCAACATCGTGTACAACCCAAAGTGAGGATCAGATAACAGAAGATATGTCTGCAATATTGAATAACAATAACGAGGACGCGGAATTACTTCAAAGATTAGCTTCGCGTCATTATTACAGCACAACGACCGCACTAGCAATAACTGTTGGTGTTGGATGCATCCTATTAGTTCTAAATATGTTGATATTCGCTGGTATTTACTATCAGCGGGACCGAGATAAAAAACGTGCTTCGACGTTAGGATGCATGGCTAACGGCCAAGACTCGTTACCCATGACAACGCGTCCGTCAATAAAGTCTATTGACAACAACAATCCAACGTCTGTTCAAGAGCCGCCTCCGTCTTACACGACCCTGGCTAGAAATACTAACAATTCTGTACAAAGTCAGCAACAAAAATTACTCCAGCAGCATCAGCAGCAACAAAATGAAATTGATAATAACATATCATTGTTGTTGAGCTCAGCTAATCAACAGATAAACAATGATAATGATGATAATGACAATGACAATGACAATGATGATAATAATGACAGTGATATCAATAATGAACAGGTTATCAAAAATACCTTCATCAATTCATCAACTACACATAATAGTAATAAAGACTTAATAATGCCTCCTAAACCACCGGTTAGAACAACAAGTTCATTAAGCAACAGTACGGGTGGTGTAGGCGGTGTTAGTGGGGGCGGTACTATTAAAAAACGTGTGCAAATTCAAGAGATAACTGTATAGCATTAGGGGTTGCCCCAACCGGGCACGATTAAATCCAAGCACGTTACTTTTAATGAAGATAATAATACCATTCAAGATACACCCTTTTAATTTGTTTTTTTTTTTTTTCTTATTTTTTATTCGCTATCAGATTCTAAATTAAAAACTATTGTTTTTATTTTTCCAACTGTTTGAGGTGGTACTGGAGATTTTATTAACTTAGTTATTTTTTAATATTTAAATTATTTTAATACGTGCTTGGGTTTTTTAATTAAATGAGACACCGATCGGGTTATTATTTTTAAAATGAAAGAAATTTTAAATGTTTTTTTGCTGTGGATTTAATTGCAGGAATGTAAATATTTAATTGAATCCCTGAAATTCTGTTTTTTATTTGATTTCTTCTCGGAATAGTTAGTATTTAATTAACTACTGAGTGATTATTTACAATGAAGCGAATATACATAAATTAATGTTTAATAACCCGGGGGTATTTCATTTAAATGGAAACATGTGAATACAATAAAAAAAAATTTTTTATACAATTATATATTAGTAGGTGATTGTATGTTTGTAAAAAAATTAATATATTTATTATTTTATTTATTGTACTTCCGTGTTTCCGTAGTCATTTAGATCTATTGGAATATATTTATGTTTAATACTTGATTGAATAAATATATTAACTCATCGATGCATTTTCACTGCCTTTAAAAAAAAAATTTCATTGAATTGTAACACTTGTATAATTATAAATTTTTCATAGCTACTACCATCACTCAAATATTAATTGTAATTGTAATAAATATTATTATTATTATTATTTATTGACTTAATAAGAAAGTATCTTTGATAAATCTTTTATCAGTGACAAAAATAATTTACTAATGAGACTATTTCAAATGATTTTCATTGTAGATAATAAATTAAATACATATAAATAAATATCTATTAAATAATATAAATAAATTATCCAAGATAAAAAATTTTATATTGTAGAATATTATGTAATAATTTCATTGTATTGCTGTAAAATTAAAGTATGTTTTACATATTTTCTATAGTCACAAAATCTCTAACAGGGGAAAATTTGTTTAATTGTTCTATAAACTTTTATTAATCTAGCAAATTACACAGCATGAAGTTATTACATAATGTAATAAAATAGATTATAAAGTATGAAATTTTCTAACTTGGACGGAAACAAATTTATTGAGTAGACGGAATAATTTTGGATGTCTCATAAATTTATATGAGGTGTTAAAAATTACCCCCAACTAAATTAACAGAACTGTCGAGTAACTGAATATGAAACTTAAGTGGATAGATGAATTTTCACAACAAATTAAAATATAAAATATATATATTGAAAATAACTGCACGAACTTTTTACATGTAAAAAATTAAATTAGTAAATGCGAATGAGTGAAAATAATATAATGTAATAACTGAATACGTATTTCTTATAAAAATCTTTAGATAAAATTAATTACGGTCTCAATTAAATAAAAAATCAGATGTTAAAAATGCGTAGACTAAACAATTGTATCTTTATGTGACAACTTGTAATAGAAAATGACATCTCTCAAACAAAGAGTAAATCTGATAAGTAAAATTGAAATATTAGTACTATGATGATTAAAATAAAAGAATGGCGGAGTAATTAAATTAAAATATATCCTATTTTATAACTAAGACGCTTAATTTACTGTATAAAAATCGTGAAAATTCTTAGATAAATTACTATGGATGATTGTAAATTTTCTGGTACTACAATAAAAAAGAAAAAAGTTATCAATTTATAAATTTTTTATGTATTTTAAACATCAAAGAGCAAGTGACAAGTCACTGAAAATATATCTCACAATACCTTAATTAACTTAAATAGATTTTTGCATTATTTATAAATGCTGTCATTACAAATCCGTTTTTTATGTTTTTATATTAAACATAATCATAACAATCAGACAGTAGGAGGTAATAAGAAGATAATGTATATAGTCACTCTGTAAATAGTTTTATTTAAAGAAATTATTTAGCTTGTTTCTTCGAAGCAACTTCATCTTGTACTGGACTACCGCCTCTCTTTTTACTTTTTCTGAATCCTAAATAAAATAAAGAAAGACAAAAAATTAATCGCTGTTTTATAATTTATTTTATAAATATAATTTTTTAGTAGATAATCAGTTTATTATTGAAGTGATTTCAACTCAGCGAGATCCTTATTAATAATATTAATAAGATCTCTCAGTATTAGCATGGCTAGGCATCACGTGAATTAATTTTTTTTTCAGTAATAAATTTTTGTTTATAGATGAATAATTAAACCTATTTTACCTTTCTTGTTGTTGCGATTTTTCTTTGATTTGTTGAAAGGCTTAGCCTTAATAAACAGTTCTTTTCTAACTTTTTTCAAGTACTCTTCTTCTTCTTCACCTTCCAAAAGTTGGAATGTAATTTCGGAATCGCTTATTTTAATCTGTAAAATCAAATAAAGTTAATAAAAAGTTTGGAAAATCCAAAAGTGCACACCTCATAATCTCATTTTTCACAATAAAATTGATTAAAATAAAAGATAAAAAGCAAAATAATAAAAAACAGAAAACTCTGCTATGGTTTAGTGGCGCCATAACTCTAAGGTGAGAAAAAAAAAATACTATAATTGTACTCATATTAACCTGTAAGTGTGATATATAAATAAAAAATCAATTTCAGTTTCGAGAAAACTGCTTTTTTTTTTTTAATTTCGAGAGTAGATCACAATCTCAACGCTTATGAGGCGTGCAATAACGAAAATTTCTAATTCCAAAATTAATCTACTAAAATTCATAAAATCAAACCGAACTCAATTATTTCATAGTTAACTATCGTCTAAAAAATTTTTAAAAATCGACCATCTTATTTTACCTTTTTGTCAGTCATTTTTTCAAGAAGTGGTATCGCTGAATTTGCGCCTTGGAACCGAATCCAACCAGTTTTTTGGCCATTTTTGTAATCAACAAACGATATTTTAGCTTCTTGTTCTAAAAACGATTGTTTAATTGCTTCCCATACAACACCTTCAGGCTTTTCAACTGTGAAATGTAAAACAGCACCTTTAGGTAAATCAGTTTTCTCTGACTCATCATCTTCATCCTCTTCCTAATTATAAAAATAAATTATTTATAAAAAAAATTGCATACTTAACAATACTATACATAAAAACAAAAATACTAAATGCTTACTGCTTCATTTTTCTTTCCCTTCCTTTCTTGACGTTCTTTGGTTTTCATAAGTGAGTAATCTTCACTCATCATTTTGATAAGCTCAGTATCTTTATATTTTAGTGATTCCTTGGCTACCAGAGCTTTAGCATCATCGAGATTCTTAAACTGTACAAATATTGAACCTTTGAACTGCAATTTTTGATTTTCATCTTTGTATTTTCTCATCTGTAAATATATAATATTTATTTGGATTAATAAAAAAATCATTAACCATTTTTTAATTTTCTAAATAAGAAGTTAAACTTACAACAATGTTTTCAACAACTCCAAAATCTTTGAAGAACTCTTTCAATTCATCGAGTTTAACTTCTTGTGGGAATGATTTTAAGTAAACAGTTCTGGCCGTTTGGGATCGTCGATACTCTTCATTGTAAAGCGGCAATGGCTTATCTACACGACGACGAATTTTTTTTCTATTATCAGATATTTCCATCAAGTCGCTCTGCTCAACGGCTTTCAATATAGTCTCAACGTCATTACTCATTGCTGCTAATAATTTGAATTGCAACATAATGGTCATTGGAATCCATCCTTCGTCGAGTTTTATTTGTTCGATTAAGAATTTGTCACGTTGAAGGTTGACATCGCCGAAGTAAAACTGAATAACAAATAAATATTAATTAAATTAAATATTTTAAGGTCAGTATATTCAAATTTTTTTAAGCCTCAGCATTGAAAATATTATAAATTAAAAAAAAAACAAAAGTAAAAATCAGACAGTTATTAATGAAAATTAAAGATAATGAAATCAGCAGACATCAGACAATTTTTTTTTTATTTTTTTACAAATCAATTGTAAGAATAAAATTTTAATTTTTGTTAATTTTTAAATGTAGGATTTTTAATAAAAATTTTTTTTTACTAATTGAATTAAAAAAGCTGGCATAAAAAATAAAAAAATTTACAGACTTCTGTTAATTTCAGTATCATTAAAAACAATCATTTCCGCATCATACATAGCTAAACATTTTATATTTCTAAAATTACTATAATTTTATGCAAGTGTTTTCATGATATTGAAATCAACAAAAATCTTGAAATTTTTATAACAATTAAATTATTATGAAAAATAAATTATAAGTGTAAATTTTCAAAAATATTTTATGAAAATTAAGTTAGCCAAAATTTTAAAATTTTTATACTCTTTTTATTGAAATGACATTAAAGTTAGCAGCCACTTAACAATTTTTTAATTTTATTTATCAAAAAAATTTATTTAAAAAAAAATTCCATTTTTTATAATTTCTACATGTCAATTTATGTTTCTAATTTTTTTTTTACCTCAATTTATTTGCTATAAAATTTTTAATATTATTAAATATATATTAAATTAATTTTCAGTTTATTGAAAAAATTCTTACAAAAAAATATGAAAAAAAATTTCATTTGTAAAAAAAACTTGGAAAACTAAAAGAGAAATTAAAAAAAAAATTAGAAAAACGGTTCACCCTAAAGGCCATCCCTGCAACTTCCCGCTCATTTTGTACTTAAACGCTTCAAACTACACATTACGTTTTTGAGCTCTTCGAGCTCAAAACTCTAATAGCAGTTTAAAGAAACAATTTTTTGAATTTTCAAACGGCAATAACTTTTGAATGAATAAACCGATTTTCACGCGGTTGGCGGCAATCGACGCAGTTTTTGAAGCTCCATGAAAAATTTTCAAGTTTAAATCGATTGAGCCATGAATTTCGAAGTTATTACAAAAAAACACTTTTTTCGATTTTTTTTCGACAACGATATCTCACGAACGCATCAACCGATTCTTACGTTTTTGGTGGCGATCGATGGGGGTTTTCAAGGTTAAGAGCTGAATAGTTTTTGAGACCGATCGGTTCAGCCAATTCGAAGATATTTAAAAAAAATAAAAAAAAAAACTTTTTTTTTCACTTTTTTTGCATTTTCTCGAAATCTACCGGTCCGAATCGGTTCAAATTTTCAGGAAATCTAAGTTTAGTGAAGTCCTTTCGAATGACACCAACCGCGATGAAATCGGTTAAGTCGTTCAAAAGTTACAAGAGGTTTACACACACACACACACACACACACACACACACATACATACAGACGTACGGACATCATCGTAAAAATAGTCAGGGAAGCTTCCTGTGACCTTCAAACGCCGAGATCTGATGAAAACTCGATTTTTGTAAAACGGGGTGAAAACAATAACTTCCCGATTTTTGAAAATCTGAGATTTTTAGCGGGAAGTTAAAAATATTTTTTTGTTTTAATTTAATAAATGAAAAAAAAAAAATAAAAAAAATTAGAAACATCGGCTAACTTTAGTATTATAAATATTTTTCTATCGTAATTAGTTTTTCATAAAAATTTTAAAAATTGTCTCGTCTGCTAATTTCAGTATTATGTGTTATTCATAAAGTCCGAAAGAATATAGGTTATGTTGAAAATAAAACGTTTTATTATAATCATAAAATTACCTCAATTTGATTTTTAATTTTTTCCAATAATTCTGGTGATGCATCAACAGACTTAATCTCTTCAGCTTTCTTTTCTTCGTCTTTGTTATCAGTTGCATTTTTATCACCGCTAGTATTATTGCCATCAACGTGTTCTTCTACCGGCATTTTGGTTTCTTCGGCGGTTTTCTCGCTGTTTTTTTCAACAACTTCCATTTTTATTATTTATTTAATAAATAAATTCTTTCAAGAGAAATTAAACTGCAAAAAGAATTTGAATCGCGCAATTAATATATATTTAAGCAATAAATACTACAACGTGCTACGCAACGCAATATCAGAACGAATGACCACAGGTGAAGATTCGATTCAATACTATAATTGAGAAATACGACGCGAGCATTTAGAAATGGCCGTCTGTATTCCGGAAATTGCGTTGTAAGCAAATTTTTTTTTTTTCAAGATTATAGCGCTGTTACTATTTTGAAATGCTTCAATGCTATTGGAGAGTTAAGGAATAACTTGAATATCATTGGCCCAGAAAAGATATCTCTAGATTTGTGTATAGTAAAATTAGTAAAATTGTTAGTTTTGACCAATCAGAGCACTTCTGTAGATTTTTTTATTTTTTTTCTTTAGATTTTTGTAAATACGTGATATTTTAATATTTTTTTTTTAATGAAAAATCATTTATTAAAAAAATTTTCATTGAAATATCCAAAAACTTACAAAATAAGATATGTTTTTTTTATAAATTTTAATTTTCTCTAAATCATTTATTTACAATATTTTCTAAACTCTTGAACGATTATAATCTTTTTCCAAATTGAACTAAATAATCCAGGATGTTGTATTGAACTTTTGTTCAGGAATATTTAATAAAATACTAATGTATCCGTCAAAATGAATACAACAGCAAAGTTTGATTAAAACTATGGAAAATTTTCAGCTGAAAATACTTTTTACATAAATTGAATAAATGGTGGCATCCTAAAGTTATTTAGAAAAAAATAAGTAAATTAAATTTCGCATTTTCAAAAATTTCTAATTACTGCCATTCATGAAAACTAACCGATCTATTTCGCTAATTATTAATTGAATTTATTTTATTTTATTTATTTATTCAATTTAATGCCAAAGCAATGGCTGTATGGCTAATATATACATAATAGTTACAGTAAAGTACACGTATTTTATTGGATTGTTAGTACAATAAATATTTAAAATATTTCTGTAGAACAATAGCATGTTGGATGAATGTTAGAGCTATAGATATATGTGACGTTATTTTAAAAAAGGTTAAGTTGATTAATTAAAGATTATTAAATACTATATAAGTGTTTTGAGATAGATTAGCATATAGTTTAGTTTATCTCACATTTTTGTAGATATATGTTACTAATTAATACATGTTATCATTGATAGCAGTTCATCGTCTAATTTAATAGAGTCAAGTAGACCGGGTTCAGAAAATAAATTGATAATCAATTTGACTTTGATAATTGTCTGGGGGATATACATCAAATTTTGCCGAGTTATATTGTATGTATATAAACTTTTGAACCATATCTATTTTCTGAACCAGCTCGACAAACTGAGTCCGGAAATAGCAAAATTTTTCAAAAGTTACGATAGATTTTTATGAAATCTACTAAAAAAAAAAAAATTAATGCAATGAAATGAATGAATAAAATGTAATAAAAAATATTAATACTTTTTTTTTTCAAAAATTTCTGGGCCTAATTAGTATCGTCAGAATTTAAAATTAACTAATTTAAAAAATTATACATTAAACTTTAAGAATGAATAAATAAACTTTATTAGCGACCAATCATTACAGACAAAATTAATAAATCCATTCTTAAAAACAACAACAAACTCCCGAAAATTTTAACTAGAATAACAAATTATATTAATTTATAATTTATAACGAGTAATTTTTCGAAATTGGTGTGTTAACTACTCTAGATTACGATAACTTAATATGAAGGATTTAATTATAATGTTCTAGTATACGTCATTGCAGTTTTTTTTTTATTTAATAATTTATTAACTTTATGCAATTTCATTTGTAATAGCTACTTATTTATTCACAATGCAAAATATGTAACTTTTGATACCTTAAGATTTGTATTTCTTTGGGACTTAATTATTAACTATTAAATTAATTTGTTCCATTCATTTGCTTGTAAAAAAAAATTTTTAGACATATTACAATGCTTATAACTTCTAAACTAAAATCATACATTTTTTAAGAAAATTAAGAAATTATTAAATGATATTGTTTTTATTAAATTAATAAATGTTTTTTTTTTTTTTTTCAAATAATCATTAAATACAAAAAAAGTAATAGAAATTCTGTATGTTTATTTTTCAGAGTTTCAAAATTGATATTTAAAAATTAAAAGTTACAAACTCAATAAATTATAATTAAAAAAAACTTCAACAATACGCTTTAATGGCAAATTATTATAAAAATATCTTAAAAAGCACCCTTCACTTTTTTACAACAAAATAAAATGTTTTTATTTCTCTACTCTTTTTTTTTTTAATTTATTGAAAATTATTTTCTACTTTTCAGTTCGGTTTTCTATTGAAGCGTATTTTTTAGTTTTTTAAACTATTATTAATCGCTTTTTTTTAAATTGTATATAAATAGAGCGAGCTCTTAGTAAATGAATAAATTATCAATCACATAATATTGGATTTCATTGAACAGGAAATCGAATAAACTATTAATTGTTACGATCATTTTGAATCAATTCATCACAAAAAAAAAATTAATTTTAAGTAATTTTTAGTTTAACAAGATCTCATAATTTTTTTGTACCAATCAAAATTATAAATTAAAAAAAAAAAAACTTTAAATATTTAAAAGTCCCATTTTATTTTTCCGGTTTAATTCACCCTAACATCAAGCATAAAATTTTAATTAGAAATTTATCTTACTTAGAACATTGAAGCCATAAGATAACATTGTTCTGTCCGGAAATAATATGCTGTTCAATAGTAATTTTAAAAATTAAAAGAATTGCACTTAAAATGCAATTTAATTTGAGCCTTAAATTTAGTTATACCTTTATAACTTTGTCTAATAGTAATTACGGCATCTAGTTACTAAAGTTACTATAGAATCATTGTAAGGAATTATCCTAGAATCAGAAATCAGGTAATAAGCTGTTAAACATAAAAGAACATCCTCCGAAAATTTTAGTACATCAGGTATATATTTTCTTCTTTCAGAAATATATAAGTTTGCAATATAAAAGTATTTCTTAATTGAAATTTTCGCCCCGCCTTGAAAAATAAAATTTAAGAATTTATAATCAAGTAGTTACTTACTTTAACCACTAGACGTCACTGGCTTTTTCCTTCCCCCCTGAACCCCCTCCTTCTTGGGCTAGTGACGAGTATCCATTAAGCGGCAGAGCATAAATACCATTCAGTGGCCATTTTCGATCATTCACTCGAGCGTTCCTTTCCGGTCGGTCCTAGTTAGTGGTTGTGTCTTACTAATTTTAGCTGAAACATAATCTTTCTCCATCTTCCATAATGAGAATTTACAAAGATATTTTTACCGGTAAGTTTATTTATTTAATAGTTAACTATTAATATTAATTATTATTTTTTTTTATTAACTTGCTCACACCATGCGTACGATTAATTTAAAAAAAGTTACCTAAGAGGCTATCATATAGTTTGAGATATCTTATTTAAATAGCTAATGATAGCAATTTTATCTTTATTTAATTTATCTTTTATCTTTGTTCAATTTAGTTTAATTAAATTAAATTTTACATAGACTTGAGTTTGAATAATATTCCAGTTAAGAATCACCCTAACCTCACCATATGGAGTTTCATGATTTATTTTATTGTGATTATAATATTGGTTACTGATTGTTGAATTTTTGTTTTTTAGGAGATGAGTTGTTCTCAGACACATTCAAAATTAAGTTGGTTGATGATGTCCTTTATGAAGTGTACGGCAAGTTTATTACGAGGAAGCAAGGCGATATCCATATCGACGGTGCCAACCCCTCAGCTGAAGAAGCCACTGAAAGTACCGACGAAGCATGTGTATCTGGTGTTGATATTGTGTTGAACCACGGATTAGTTGAATCTTATGCTTTTGGAGACAAAAAATCATACACTCTTTATCTTAAGGATTACATGAAGAAGTAAGTACTTTAATTTCATTCAAATTAGCAGACACTTGTTCTAAACTAGGTTTAGAAAATTATTTTTAAAAAATTGCATTTATAATTTTTTTAGAGCTTTTAAATACTCTAATTTATTATTTTTTTTTAGTTCAAAAAATTATCCCATGTCTCAATTTATGACACTGAAATTAGCAGACTTGTAAAAATTTTTTATTTTTTATTATTAATTAAATTACAACTAAAAAGATATTTCTAAAAAATTGCACTCATAGTTTTTCAAGTTTTTTTATAGGTGAAAATTTTTTTTTAATTTTTTAAGGTAGTACCCTCGCGACATATAGTGCGAGTAAATTTGGGTATAGTTTAGGATATTTTTGTCTTTCTCACTTGCTATTCCTTACTCACTTCTACTCATGGTTATTTTTGAATAATACAGTTATTTTTTAATAATATTTAAAAATCTAGATGGTAAAAATCAATGAAAGTTTGAAAAAAAAA